GGGTTTTTAGGCCGTCGTTCGGTAGAATTTATTCGTGACGTTTCGCAAGCACGAGTGGCTTGCATCTTCAGAAGTGGTTTGGGTTAGTCCTCATCAGAACTTCTTCCGCAGAACTGAACGGGTTCTGATGAGAAGAAGAAAGTTCTGAGAGAAGTTCTGATGAGGACTAACCCAAACCACTTCTGAAGATGCAAGCCACTCGTGCTTGCGAAACGTCACGAAGAAATTCTACCGAACGACGGCCGAGAAACCCGAAAAACCCACTAGTTTCAAGGAATGGCCTCGAAAGTCTCTTTTGACCTTTCAAGGGAGTAAACTGCTTTTGCTTTGGTCCATCAACAAAGCTCCTGATAGTAGGAAGCGAAAGCGGCAGCCTGCAGCTCTGGAACACTTTCATCTCCAAAACCATTGCCACATTTTCCGCATCCTCTGCAGGAATTGTCGATGTTCAAATTATCGATAGCCACGATCTGTTTTTGAGCTGCTCGAGTGACGGTGTAAGTTGAGCGAAAGGTCGATATCAACTCTCTGCATACTTTACATGTCGGGCTATCGGGCTGTAGGTTCTGAAGTTGTGGTGCTTAAGAGAGTACACGTGCCTGCAGACAATCAAGCTGAAATTTCCCTGCTTTCGCATCGACGGGAAAACCATCGAGTGGAGCAACGGGTGTCTTAATCCAGGCCCCAAGAGGAAACAACCCCACACGGCTCAAGTCAGTGAAACTGAGCAGGAAACCTTCGGGATTAGTGATGTAGACGAAAAGCAATTTCTGGATCAAAAAGCAAAAACACGGTAAGATTTCCAGTTGAGAAACTCCTGATGTAAAAGTGGCTGTTGCAGACCTCTGACCGACCTTTGGGAACGATCCAGTGTTCTGGTAACATGCTGCAACTATATGGCATTTTTGAGGGCAAACTTCGCAAATGCCTCCATCGAGGACGGATTCACTTGTCCGATAGTTCCACCACCGCCTTTGCAAAATAGTGTTCTAATCCCCGCCAATTGGCGCTTTAAATCGGAAACTACTCCTTGTGAAGGGTACGAACTACCAGAAGGATCTTCAAGTAAGTAATCAACCGTGATTTTTGCAGGAGCAAAGGAAATGGTTGGGACTTTAAAAAACAGCTGGAAAACTTGAGCTTCATTCTGGACAAAAACCTGCTGGAGGAGGCTGGGGCGAGGAGCGACATCAACTACAAAATCGCCGCATTGGAGTCGCAAAAAGAAAAGGTAGTTTATGTTCAAAGCAAGCAGTTTTCAGGAATTTTCCGGTTGCAGATGCGCTCGAAAGTGGCCTTAGGTTCGCCATACTTAGCGCTAGACCTGCCCGAGATCCAGCCCTTGGAGTTAACCCCTGATGTTTCCCTTGAGAACGGCACAAAACGGCAAAAATACGCCGGGAAGATTGAAAATCTTCTTCAAGATGCCGCGCGGAGGGACCACATATTTTCCTCTTCGGCATCTTCTGCTGCTTTATCGCGTTCAAGCAGAAGCAGCGTTGTTGAAATTCCCTACTAGATTAGAGACTTTTGAAGAAATAAACTCTAGAAGCAGCATTGCCACCGACGCTTTTATTTTAAAAAAACGTTGCCACATACTTAACAAAAATAGCTACAATAAAACACACAAAGATGAGGAAAGCTAGTCGTTGAATGGCGATTTCCAGAAGCGCCCAGTAGTGCTGACTTTTGTCTTCCGCTCTGGATATGTTGGAAATCGACAGTGATAAATCAAGTTCCCCGTAATCTTCTGGCATCTGCAGTCCCAATTGCAAGTAACTAACCAACTGAACATGCTTCCAGCCTACTTACCACTATGTTGGGAAGCCAAAGCATCCTCTTAACAGCTCGCTTGGTCAGTATATTGCAAACAGCATGCGGCAGAGGCTTCGACTGTTTCCGCCTGATCAAATTCGGTACAGCTATGGAAATCAGCAACGAGAGCAAGCTGCCAGCTAAGCACCAGATGTACAGAACAACTGGAACATCTGGGGTAATCCTGCAGCTGAAACCATCTGAAATCTACTCACTTATAAGAGGAACTCCGGCTGATGAATGTGGGACAAAGTGCGCTAAAGCCAACAGGATTATAATCTCGATAATCAGCTGAGAAGATCCCAACAGGATTTTCGTATTTCCTTTAGGGGGCAGCCAAAAAGTGACCAGTAAGCAAACAGCAATGACTGGAAAATAAGTGGTTTTACCGATAACACGCCGGGGCAAATTAAGCACCCACCGAGAACGGGCAGAAGGAAAATCAGGCTGTAGATGAAAGAGTTACGTCTTAACTCAAACTTGAGGCCAAATAATGGGGAGTCGTTTGAGGCGTTGTTGGTCTGTTGGATGTCGAAGACACTGGCTTCCAGGATCAGCCATGGAGAGGTTTCATGCTGAAGCTGAAGCACAATGACTGAGATTAGAAGCAAAAATAGTGTTGGAAAAACGTTAAAATGTAGGTAATTTTTGGAAAATGTAAGGAAAATAGAGAAGGAAAATATAATTCAATCCACTTCTACCATGTTTTTTAATGAGTTCGATGCATTCCTCGCGACCGTGAGCTGCAAATGATGTAAAACTTAAAACGTTTTGCGAAAATTTTCATTTTTTTTAAAAATCGACTCCCACCCTTGGAAAAATATCGACCAAAAATCAATATTTTCCATGCGGGTTTTTTGCGCTCAATGGATTCGTTTCGACGTAAGAAATTCAGAAATATGCATTTATAAAGTGTTTGGATCAAAAATGAGGAGGAAATCGTCGGCTGAAGATCGTGAACGCTCAAACAATGCTTAAAATGTGCCGTAAATGTCTATTATCTCATATGTGAAACTTCTACCATGCTTTTTAATGAGTTCGATGCATTCCTCGCGTCCGTGAGCTGAAAATGTCGTAAAATTTAAGAACTACTGGCACAAGTTTAAAAGTTATGAATTTTTCTTTGTCAGCATGTAGCGATTTTTAGGATTTTACATACAACTTTAAATATAGTCGATTGCCAAAAATCAGCCCGTTCTGCGATTTAAATCAAATTCGGTCTGTAGATTCAAGAATGTTTTATATTCACCGTGTAGAAATTTGAACTTGCTACTCGCTGAAGTTTGACAGTTATGAATTTTTTTTTGTCAGCATGTAGCGATTTTTAGGATTTTACATACAACTTTAAATATAGTCGATTGCCAAAAATCAGCCCGCTCTTCGATTTAAATCAAATTCGGTGTGTAGATTCGTGAATGTTTTGTATTCACCGGGTAGAAATTTGAACTCGCTAGTCACAGAAGTTTGAAAGTTATGATTTTTTTTTTGTCAGCATGTAGCGATTTTTAGGATTTTACATACAACTTCAAATATAGTCGATTGCCAAAAATCAGCCCGCTCTTCGATTTAAATCAAATTCGGTCTGTAGATTCGTGAATGTTTTGTATTTACCGAGTAGAAATTTTCAATCGCTACTCGCACAAGTTTGAAAGTTATGAATTTTTTTTTGTCAGCATGTAGCGATTTCTAGGATTTTAACTACAACTTTAAATATAGTCGATTGCCAAAAATCAACCCGATCTTCAATTTAAATAAAATTCGGTGTGTCGATTCGTGAATGTTTTGTATTCACCGTGTAGAAATTTGAACTTGCTACTCGCAGAAGTTTGACAGTTATGGATTTTTTTTGTCAGCAAGTAGCGATTTTTAGGATTTTACATAAAACTTCAAATATAATCGCTTGCCAAAAATCAGCCCGTTCTTCGATTTAAATCAAATGCGGTCTGTAGATTCGTGAATGCTTTGTATTCGCCGGGTAGAAATTTGAACTTGCTACTCACAGAAGTTTGACAGTTATGAATTTTTTTTTGTCAGCATGTAGCGATTATTAGGATTTTACATACAACTTCAAATATAGTCGATTGCCAGAAATCAGCCCGCTCTTCGATTTAAATCAAATTCGGTTTGTAGATTCGTGAATGTTTTGTGTTTACCGAGCAGAAATTTTCAATCGCTGCTCGCACAAGTTTGAAAGTTATGAATTTTTCTTTGTCAGCATGTAGCAATTTTTAGGATTTTACATACAACTTCAAATATAGTCGATTGCCAAAAATCAGCCCGTTCTTCGATTTAAATCAAATTCGGTCTGTAGATTCATGAATGTTTTGTATTCACCGTGTAGAAATTTGAACTTGCTACTCGCTGAAGTTTGACAGTTATGAATTTTTTTTTGTCAGCATGTAGCGATTTTTAGGATTTTACATACAACTTTAAATATAGTCGATTGCCAAAAATCAGCCCGTTCTGCGATTTAAATCAAATTCGGTCTGTAGATTCATGAATGTTTTATATTCACCGTGCAGAAATTTGAACTTGCTACTCGCTGAAGTTTGACAGTTATGAATTTTTTTTTGTCAGCATGTAGCGATTTTTAGTATTTTACATACAACTTCAAATATAGTCGATTGCCAAAAATCAGCCCGTTTTTGGATTTAAATCAAATTCGGTCTGTAGATTAGTGAATGCTTTTTATTCACCGTGTAGAAATTTGAACTTGCTACTCGCAGAAGTTTGACAGTTATGAATTTTTTTTTGTTAGCATGTAGCGATTTTTAGGATTTTACATACAACTTCAAATATAGTCGATTGCCAAAGATCAGGCCATTCTTCGATTTAAATCAAATTCGGTCTGTAGGTTCATGAATGTTTTGTGTTTACCGAGTAGAAATTTTCAATCGCTACTCGCACAAGTTTGAAAGTTATGAATTTTTCTTTGTCAGCATGTAGCAATTTTTAGGATTTTACATACAACTTCAAATATAGTCGATTGCCAAAAATCAGCCCGTTCTTCGATTTAAATCAAATTCGGTCTGTAGATTCATGAATGTTTTCTATTCACCGTGTAGAAATTTGAACTTGCTACTCGCAGAAGTTTGACAGTTATGAATTTTTTTTGTCAGCATGTAGCGATTTTTAGTATTTTACATACAACTTCAAATATAGTCGATTGCCAAAAGTCAGCCCATTCTTCGATTTAAATCAAATTCGTAAATCAGTAGATTCGTGAATGTTTTATATTCAAAAATCAGCCATTTTGAGAAAATTTTAATTTTTTGAAAAAATCGACCCTTATCCTTGGAAAATTTTCGGCCAATATTCAAAATTTCACATGTGTGTTTTTTGAGCTCAAACGGTTCCTTTCGACGTAAGAAGTTCAAAAATATGCATTTATAAAGTGTTTGGATCAAAAATGAGTACGAAATCGTTGGCTAAAGATCGTGAAATCGTTGGCAAATTGACGCAAAATTTGAGACATTTTCAGAACATTTTGATTTTTTCCAAAAATCTCGGCATTTTTACATCTCAGTAGATCAGAGTATTTTTCGCTCAACTGAAAACTTACCAAGCTGCTTTCGCTGTCACTGAAGTTCAGCACAACCCGACCATAATCCCAGGCAAAACCAAACAGCATTTCGCATGTATGAACGTCTCGCGGCCAATCGCCCAATTGAATCCCATCGCAAAAAGTCTTCACATGGATGGTTGGTTTCCATGTAACTTCCCCGTTATTATTGGCGATAAGCAGGGCGTCTTGCAAAATGTCCACCGAGTTGGTTACGGCTCTGAAAAGCGCCAATCTTTCCCAAACGGCACTGCAAACTGTTCATTTTTCACCTGTAGCTGGTCAGCTCTGGGTTCCAAATCTCTGTTCTGAGCGCGTGGATTTCGGTTAAGTTCTCGTAGTTGGCGGCATCCCAGTTGAGCTTTTCATCGTGCCATTTCTAAAATTCGCAATTAATCAATCATTTCCATTAATCCAGTTTTTAGCTAGTTACCATCACAGAAGTGCCTCGGATTTCGATGAAAGACTTCCGCTCATCCTGAAAAGTTTCCGTGCATTTCCACCAACTTGATTGCCCGGTAAAACTCACCAAATCCAGATATTCCAAGTTGAGGCTCATGTAAACAGTGGTAACAGTTGATTGGTCCAGAACCGGCCGCACCAAAGGATCGTAAGCAAGCAGCACATTGCGCCTCAATTTCTCCAAAGCAGTTAGTCGCTTTTCGACTTCCTTAAATCAAGTTTCGGGTTCGTTTTTACTTTCAAGTTTTGTTTGAAACAGCTCGTTTACCTCCTCACTTTGCGAGCGGTCGCAATTGAAGTACCATTTAGCCTCAATTCCCGACCAAGTGCTGAAGCTGATGAACTTTACGCCCAAAGGCTCCGGATCCAGCCACTCAATGAAGGAGGCATTATCGCCTTCTCGCCCCACTTGGATCAGACCCTCTAATTGGAGGAAATGAGTAATTAACTGAGGGTTTTGTGGGATTAACACCAATTTGTATATACTTTCCTGACTGCGTTTCAATTCCAAATCAAATTCCTGGGTTTCACTCATTTATTGTCCCTATTTATCAATTAAAATACGTTTCGGTGTATTTTTCCACCATCATCAGTTTAGCATCAATAGGGCAGCAACCCAGATAGCATTTGATATTCTATGAATATCCCAGAATGTTCAAAAAATATATACAGAACATTGCGAGAATATACTGGGAATATACATAGGTGAACATTCCTAACATGAATGTTCGTGGAATATACATGCATGTATATTCATCAAAGTTCATAAAAAGTATTTCTTAGGTATGTACATATTGGGTATATGTGCAGATGAACATGCAGGTATGTACATTTTGTGTATATGTGCAGGTGAATATACCTAGTATGTTCAAAACAAATATTCCGGTAATATACATGAATGTATATCTACGGTATATTCCAAATTGGTTGAATATAAATTTTGCGTGCCCGCAGCAGAATAGTAAGGGCACGTACAAGTACGAAGTTTATATGAACTTTTGTTTTTAAATGCGTCAACGTTATAATTTTATTGGGCAATATTAATAAAATTTCTATATTACTCAAATGAATTTATCCGGAGCTAACAGTTCCCACCCTATGAAATTCAAACAATTAAAATGCATATAACAAATTCAAATTACCCGCTTAGTGTGTACACGGAGTGACAATGACAGCGGACCAATGAGAATCATCTTTCACGCAGTGCTGCTTGGCGGTAACGCCAAAGCTCTCAAAATTTCTGAAAAGCTGCAAAGCTTATAATTTATTG